GGGAAACCATTTGCCACTCACCATCTTCAATTGTGCATAGTTCCTTTGGCACAGGATCATGTTGAACATGCTCTCGTCGGTGCCGACACGTAGCTCGCCCGCTTTCAGCAGCTCCCTGGCATCATCCTTGGCCTGATCGGGATCGATGCGACCGCTCTCGTCGCGTGCCGCTGTGCAGAGCGAGGTGAGCAAACGCTTAAAGTTGCCCGATGTCTCCGACTTCAGCTCGGACTCCAGATGTGCGCCGTACACTTAAAAGATGGGAAGATCCATGGGTGATGTCTTATGTCTGATATATTTTCCAGTGCATTGACAACTTACAGCGTAAGTACTGGTTTTTGATGGTGTATATCTCCATGTTGGATAGCGTGCAGAGGATCTCGATGAGTACCTCTTCGTCCGTGCCAATGCCGGCCATGGCATCGTTCAACTCTGCACAGTAGTAGTCGACAATCGGCTGGAGCAGACCCACGAGCAACTTCTCAAAGTTACCGCTCGTCTCCGACTTGATGTCCTCGATCAGGTCCTTGCCAAAATGGGTCTTGTACTGGCGCTGGATCTCCTGGCGCTGTTCGTTCGTACGCCTGCAGATGATATTGATGAGCGCATTCTCATCCGTGCCGAAGCCCTTCATGGCCTTGCGCAAGTCGTGGGCATCCTTGACGGGATCAAAGCCTTGTGCAGGGAATAGAGTGGGCGTTCCCTGGAAGAGTATGTGTATGCATGAGATTTATTAGAAACAATGACGTCCCAGGATAATGGTTCTATGGATGGCAATGACGTTTCCCAGTGAAGAAAGGGAATGCTGTTTTTGGTGGTGCGTTGGTGGTGGCCCAGCTTGATTGATGACAAACCTCTTTGTGAGCTGTGGGTGACCGATGCGCGTGCCCGTGCCCATGCTCATGCCCATGCCATTGACCCTGCCATTGGCCATGGCCATGACCATGACCATGCCCAGCATCGTATCCAGCTGTCATGGCTGGAGTGAATCCACTGCCAGTGGGATAGGGGGAATTGGTAGCTGGTTGGGCGCCTGGATACGGATACGGAGCAGCCTGAGCCCCCCCATGCAGCTGATGAATGTTATGGCTATGGCTATGGGACGGGGATGGGGAAGGATGCGATTGTGTCATTGGGTACGGATTTGAGTTGGGATTAGGATACGGATTGGAGTTGGGATACGGGTAGGATGCAGATGCGGAGGCGGATGATGCCGGATAGGGTGGATAGCCACCATGCTGACTGGGTGGGTACTGATGGGGTTGATGGGGTTGGTGGTGGCTTGGCTGTGGTGGGTATGGCGGCGTGGAGGAGTATGGTGAATTCTGCTGCATCGGTGGCACCCAACCAGCTCCAAAGGGTGCCGCATTTGGTGGTGGCTCATTAGTAGTAGGTGGATGCGATGAATAAGGCATTCCAGAACCCTATAAAAGTCGAAAATATTCACAATTGATAATTATCTACGAGAAAAGCGCTCACCAAAAACATTTTCAATTTCAGATTAGTTTTGCAGATTTTGTATCTTTTTTCGAAGATGTAATAAATAATTTGGAATAATGAAAGCTTTTCGGTTCACATTCTCTGTGTTGTGGGCTTTAGGCAGAGCAAAAGCAAAATACTATAATATTTCCTGACAGAAGTACAGTCAAGGCACACTCTGAGCGGACAGTCGGACACGTTGATTCAATGTCAAAATTACCCATAAGCGAAAAGATACATTCGTTTCGGAGACGGACCATGGACCATCCATTCACCAAGAGGGTTTTTTTGTAAAGCAGAATGACAAATTGTCAGTCACGTGTAAACGTAGATCAAGTATCATCCACGCTGCCTAATGGATATTTATTATTGAAAAATATTTCTCTATAAACAAATTATATGCAAATTAAATTTATTTCCTGTTTATTTTGTTAAATTGTTTTTCCAAGCAACTCATTAAATATTTTTTACTACCCCAAAAACCAAAGCAGAAATCATAAAGAAATTCACAGGTAAAAATTTGTTTACAGCCTTTGTACAATGTGTTTATAAAGTTTCAAAAATGTAAGATTAACGTGCCAAAAATTGTGGTGTGGTTAAAATAAAGTCATGATGATATTAAAAATAAGTACATAAAATAATAAATGGGATTTTGCTACTTACAAAGGGATACATTATGGGGAGATTTCTAGGTGGTGTTCCTGTGTGTGAGATTCAAGTACTGGAAAAAGGTAAAATATGCAAAAACTCTAGGGTTTAATTTCAACGTTGAAAATATTTAACTAACGGAACAAATAACAATGCAGAATTCGTACAAGTTTTTGTTTTTCCTATTTATACAGTTGTTGTCACTACTACACATACTATACTAAGAATATGCTACATATGTATAATCTAGATATGTATCTATACAGCTTGAAAGTAAAAGAACCTTGTGGCTTTAATGTCTTAATAGTAATGACTGTTAATGGCGGCAATTATTTGATAAAGCCTAGGAAGTGGTTTGATTGTAAATAACAACACCTCCACATAGATAAGGAAACTTGTAGTAGCTGTTAAAAGCAATCGTGTCTTTGGTGGGCATTACTAACTAACAGATAGGCCAAAAAATAACTTAAAAAGATTAAATATGTGTAAGAAGGCTTTGCGGGGATCGAGAGAGCCCATGATGAAGTTACTTAAGGGTAGTGTCGTCCGCTGCAGTGAGGAGCATCCACGCTCTAGTGGCTCTTGGAGAGACAAGCGTTGGAAAGAGAGCAAACGCTTTACGTTCTGCACGCTTGCAAGCATACTGACAAACGGATGGTCCTCGAAAGAGAGCAGATGTGGTGACGACACTACCTAATAAGTAAATTTACCTTGAGCCAGCCGACGCCTGTGAGAGGACTCTCGCCCTTCAGCCTTTACCAGTCATTATCAGTTGTAATCCTTCGTTACACCCAATATCAATTATAATTAAGATAAGAGAACTACTCAAAAAATATCTCTAAAAATTCGCTCAATTTCTCAAGACGATTAAAATATATATGCGACAAAATCTATCATTTTCTACAGTCCTATAGTGATTGATGAATCTGCTAAATTTAATTCACTTGTAGTTTTCCTTTCTTGAAAAACACTTGCGACTATATTTGATTTCATATTGTATATATATGTACAATATATAAAATAATCAGCGGTTTTTATCAAGAGTAACCGAGAAACGAAGGCTATGTGAGTTCGTGGTTTTATTTACTGAATAGCCCATCAAATCAACAATTAATTATGTTTTGTAAGCAAGCACAGCAGACAGAGGGACAGAGAGAGAGAGAGAGAGAGAGGAAGAGAGCAGCCCTCTTATTGTTGTATGCTCATCTAAAAATATATGTAGCATATACTTTGGGCTTACGTCACTCAAAAAATAACGCACATGATTAGTCAGAATTAATCATAATTAACAAACATTCTTCTCGTACTCCAAATCTGTTGCTTTGCTTTGCTTTTCTGTGGAATGACGCATGAGATTTTCCAGTTTGTTGTAAAGTTTCTGGTGAGGGAAGCTTGGGTTTTGGCTGTGATTCCCCTTCCTTTATTAAGATTAACTGAAAAACTTTGTAGATATTCCCAAGCCACAGACCATCCAAGGATGGGATGGGATGAGTCAGGCTTAGTGGCTCTTATTTACGGCTCATGCGTATTGGGTACACGGACACACCTTTCAGACATTTGCTTATTTATTTATGGGAATGCAAACAAATTGCTAAAGTGAAAGTTTTATACAAATGTGTACTGGACACGTGTACGACGAGTATTCGAGAAGAGTATTGTATATTTGAGGGCAGAAATCTACTAAAGTATGTAATATTTGGCTGAAATTTGCATGAGTAATGCATTATCAGAAAGAAAAGTGTTTCATGCCCATGGGGAGGTTGAGGGATCATCTACTATATGAATCATCTTACATTCTGAGCGACTTGCTCAGAACTTTTTCACCCACATCTCGGATAGACAGAGACGGTATGGATATTCGGTAAGTAGACGTCTAGTCAGCGGTATAGAGAGAGAGCTATTATCAAATGGAAATCGCATTGGTACTATCACAACATTTTAAATAGTAATTATATCGTTGCAAGGTCGCAAATCAACAGATGGGTGGACCACAAATGTACACAGATATGGCAGCAAGCAGCAGTCAGCCGCCAGTGCACATGTGTGTGGGTGCATTTGGCGGAGGAAAAGATAAAGACACAAACGAATGCCGCCCTCTCCAAGTCGTCGTACGATATGTCTTTCTTAGTACATATGTATGTATACATACATATGTACATAAATATTTATGCATGGAAGGGGAGGGGGGGATTAGGTGTACACGATCTTTCGAGTTTGTTTAAAACATTTGCAGGCCACTGACTGACTGCTCTCTCTCTCTCTCTCGCTCTATTGGTTTGTAGCACAATTTATATTTTGAAAAAAAACACAAACGAATCCAACCACACAACAACTGAGTTTTACTGGTAGGAAAAAACTGTAACAAATCTGCTATATAAATATGCAAACTTTTTTAATTACTTTAAGTATCTGTATACCCGACGACCGACGCGGCACGTTGCGTGTACTTAATGTGTCGAGACAATATATCTTATCAACCAACTACTTGTTGCCTCAACCACTTCAATAACAATCGATGGTACAATCGACAGTACTATCGATGCTAGGAAAGAGCACTATCGGCACTATCGATTTTTGAAATGCAGACCTGTACTAAACAGCTGACCCAAAGAGGGCAAAGAAAATCGAAATTGAATTTAAATTTGTTTCAAGAATGGTGGCAGTAGCTGGCTGCAGGCAGGACAGGGCAGCGGCGAGCAGCAGGGGGGCCACTGCCCCAACTTCCTTTCAGGTGTGAAGACAGAAGCTCTTCTTAACATTTTGCGTACGGAGTATGTTCTAGCTCTGTTCCAACGCCACTGCCCATTCCGCCCTGTCTTCCAACTCCTCCTCGCTATTCCTATTCCAGAAATATTAACTCAAAACAAAGCATAAACGTTGCAAGGTGTATTTATTGTAAGTAAATTTCGGTAGCTGAAATTAATTAAGAACAAGAGAGTAATCAGTATATTTTCCATATATTCCTGCATATGCTGCTACGCGAGCATTGTCTATACTTACAGACAACATCAGTTCCAAAAGTTCTTAATTTGAAATTAATTTAATAACTGATTTATCCAACGTGTTAAACAAAGTGTGGGATGTTTCTGAAAATAATCAAACAAATTTTAAACTTTTGACGGGAAGAATATGTTTCATACTCACAAATCGGTGCTATCCGTAACCATCGTGTGAGTTATGTAAAAAATAATAACGAAAATTTGTATAATTTTCCTGAGTTTTGAAAACGAAATGAAAAGACTGCACGATCAGTAGCACCTTAAACAGCCACAGAAGTCCAGCATCAGATAGACAGCGGAAAGTTAAAGCGTAAACGAAAATAATAAAAATTCTTTTGCCGAGTCCATTTTACCAAAAATTAACTGAGAAATTTTGAATTTACTTGGAATTTAGAACGATAGAACTAGGAACGATGTTGCCAGTTTGAACTGTCTGAACTGACTGAAAATAATACTGGCTTGGGCTGCCGTATAAATATGAGCATTCAGCAGCCTGCTTTGTTCACAAAAATGTTAGTTGTTAGGCTGTTTTCAAATTAAATGAAATCTTTATAAATTTCTTAAGCGATAGACATTTGAATTTAAAACCTCGATACAAACAGCCAGTTGCAATCCTCTATGCAACAGCTGACCCAAGGCGTATTTATAACAAGGTGAACCGTGAAACCAAAGGAAATCTTTCGCCCGTTTCTAATTACAAACTATCCAATTTTAAAGCCCCCATATTTTAGGGCGGTCGGATTCTTCCCGTTGCCAGAGGAGTTCATTGACTGTCATTTGAGGAAGGCGATTCAACGTTGGGGTACTTGTCCCTCTATTTGCATACAGACCGAACGATGTCAACTTCGTCGGAACGGAGACCCATAAATCCGATCCGCATCTTGGAGCAAGAACACGTTGCTGACAGACATATTCTGCTGGAGATATTCCGTTATGGGCGTTTCGACCTTCTCCTATTCGTTAAAACAAGCCAAATCGAACACATCGATAATGTAAGCCAGCAGCATGCCATTGTTAATAGCCCAGGATAAATTTAAAGGCACCTCCAATCTCCTCGTTTGTTTATGTTCGTTTTGGCGATACATCGATACATAAGCTAAACATCGAGCGCCTATATTCGGTTCGTGAAAGAAGATCGAAATCAAAATAGGAAATGTGGCCTCATTGCCCTGATGTCCGCATTTGCTTAAATATCAATATGAATATTTTATTTTCGTTTGGTTTTTAAACAGAAAAATATCGATATTACTTATATTTACCACCCTCTGTAGGTCAGACGCCTTGCGCTTCATGGCGAAGATGTACGCACCTCCTTCTGCTAACCCACCTTGTAACCAGGCTTTTGAAATGCAAGGATATTGTTATTACTCATTACATTACGATGATACGCGATAAAATTGCAAGCAATTAAAATCTAGTTATTGGAAATGTATATAAGTATTTCAGTAGGCAGCTTCATATCGCTGATAGTTGGCATCCTGGTTGCAATATATGTGTACAGGCTTCTGGAGAAGGATGGTGAGTTCCATTCCATTAAGGAGCAACAATTAACACAGCTTGTACTTAAATGGTATAAATTGTCGTTTATATTTTGGCCCATTTAGTTCCTCAAAAAGTGAATAGAAAGCCACAGAATCCAGAGTATCCCTTGCCGGCCTCCCATTCACCGCTGCATGAATTCGCGCGGGCTGGCATCTGCACCGACAACGATGTCTGCGGTCTTATGGCCAGGAAGGCCCTTGAAGATGGCGGTAGCGTTGTGGATGCCGCTCTCTCTGCCTTACTCTGCAATGGTCTCATCGGAATGCAGAGCATGGGTCTCGGCGGTGGCATGTTGATGAAAATTTATATACACGAAGAGCGAAAATCCTACAGCATTTCTGCCCGCGAAATATCACCCATGTCCCTGCGGGCCGAGAACTTTTCCATCTTCCGTGACGAGCAGGAGTTCAAGCAGTCCAGCTGGTCCATTGCGGTGCCCACTGAACTAGCTGGCTATGCACTCGCCCATCAGCGATTTGGCCGGCTGCCATGGTCGGAGCTGGTGAAGCCAACGCTTGCATTGTGTCACACGGGCTATCGCCTGTATAAGCATCAATATGATGCCCTTGCCCTGAACAGAGATATGATCAAAGCTGATCGTTTGCTGCGGCAAATGTTCATCGATCCCAAAACAGAGAACTTCTGGCCCATTGGCCATTTCATTCAGCCTCCTGCCCAACTGTGCAGCACCTATGAGCGGCTGGCCATGGAGGGACCGCACAGCTTCTACAACGGATCTCTGGCCGAGGACCTGTTGGCCGACTTGAGGGACATGGGCAGTGTTATAGGCAAGGAGGACCTAAACCGCGCCGATGCTAAAATTAGCGAGTCCCTGGTGATTCCCCTCGACGAATACGATCTGCATTTGACGCCTTTGCCAGGCAGCGGCCATGTCCTGGGCTTTATAATGAGCATTTTGCGACACTTTCGTAGGGACTTTGCACGCACCAGCGATATGGGGCCCCTGGAGGTACATCGAATGATTGAGGCCATGAAATTTGGCTTTGTTAAGCGCTGGCAGCTCGACGAAGTGGCCGATGAGCAGGTGAGTGCCTTCTAGCTGTCTCTTTCAAATGCATTCATTCCTCTCCTTTCTGTTGCAGCTACTGAAAAGCATGACCAGCACCAAGGTGTCCGCTTCCATGGCCGAAGAAATCGATGACTCTATGACGTTCAATAGCCCCCGGTCGTATGGGGCACCCGCGGAGATACGTGTGCGAGAGGAGCACGGTACGGCCCACACATCGGTGCTGCACGACAACGATGCCGTTTCAGTCACCAGCACCATCAATTTCTAGTAAGCCACGTGGCTCTTGCCTCCTATTGCTTCTCCTTCTGAACCCCTACATAATACATGTCTATCGATTCAGCTTCGGCAGCGGACGCACAGGAAAGCGTACAGGTGTGCTCTTCAACAATGCCATGTCGGACTTCTCCATCAAGCATCTGAGGAACTACTTTGACTTACCCTTTGTCCCAGGCAAGAACAGGGTGGCACCGACTACCCGGCCCATGTCCTCGATGAGCCCTCTCATCGTCACTGAGCGCACGACGGGCAAGGTTCGGCTGGTTGTTGGTGCCGCTGGTGGCACCAAAATCATATCCTCCCTCGTTCCGCTGCTGGTGCGGATTCTTTGGCAGCAGGCGAACATCAAATATGCCATCGATGCCAGTCGCATTCACCATCAGATGCTGCCCAATGTCCTGCTCTATGAGTATGGTCTGCTGGATAGCCATGTGAAGAGCCTTGAGACCAGGGGACATGTTTGTGAACGCTATCTGAACCGCGGCTCTGTGATATGCGGCATAACCCAAAAGAATGGCACCATTCTGGTGAATTCTGACTTTCGTAAACCCGGCGGAGTTACTGGATTCTAAAACGGGGTATGTTTTGTCGTTTTTCTTTTTCATTTAGAACAACATGTTCGTGATCTGTTGTTATTTTTTGGAGTGTGCCTGTTGTCCGATTCCAGAGAAATTCTCTGTTCCGCCCCAGCGAGCCATCAAATGAAATGATTCCATCTGTTAAAATTACGAGCACTGGCTATTGAAATTATTATGATTATATTTTGCCACAAAACCCCATTGACAATCAATCATATTCCACGACTATCTGTCACATGGCAATTAGGTCGGTGTACTATAATCCGCTGCCGCAGCAAAGGTATTATTATAGTAATTTCAACCGAAATACCTGGCTGCAAAATACATTTCATGACCAGATAATTGAGCAAAATTATTTACCACACAGTTGCTATAACCTGACGAAATTATCAAGTGAAAAAGTGTTCTAAATGTAACACCCAAAGGTGGGCAAGACATGAGGAGTACACCACAAATGTTCCATCACGTTTGCTTTGAGATATTCTCTTTTTAGTGATATAATCTACCTCAATCTTGCACCCAACATGTGCCTTGTTTTTGTCATTCTCGGGCATTCTCTTATGTCTCGAGCATTAACCGTCCACCGCGTCAGACACATGCAATGTATGTTGTTTTCTGATTGATTTAGTCTGCAATTGACTCAATAAATCCAGGGCACCTTCTACGCTCTCAACGAAAGTTGGAAGTTCGGTGTCGAAAGTTCTGTAAAGAAAGTGAAAGCGGCAAGTGGCCTCCAAAAACCGAAAAACCAAACATGCAGGCAGCCAGAGCGTATGGAAATGACTTTCTCCCATGTGCATTACCGTTGCACGTGACGCTTTGTTTTTTGTTTTTGTAAATAATTTATTTTAAATTAAAAGCAAGAATTCAAGTAATGCAAGTAATGGACTCGAGGGTCTAGCCCTCCTTTAGACAGACGTGTAAAAGTGTTTCCGGTTGCGGTGGCAACAAATAAATAGTGTTATGTATAAGAATGTTGCAACAATGCCCAGGGCATTGAGGGCCATGGAGAAGGCCAGCAGATACTTCCATTCACCGCGAAATGCCCCGCATTCCTCGCTGCTGCTGCTGTTGCTGCTGCAAAAGTTGATTCCCATAAAAATAACTATTTCGTGAGGGATTGAAGAGTACTTACTCATTCGGGGGACTGCTACCATCAGCTGCCGCATCATCTGCCCCATCATCTGCAGACGTTAGGCAGGTGCAGTTGTGATAGCTTAAAAGCGAACTGGTTGCCGGTCCGCAGGCACCGTCCACAGCTGATGCCAGCTCAGCGAACTCGATGGCCGCACAGACCAGGGCCAGGCAGCAAAAGACCAGCGCCAAGGCAGAGAACACATAGGATTCGGCCAGCAGGACTTTATAGCAACTATTGGGCGCCCTGTGCTCTGTGATCCTGTGATCCCGTCTCAGTAGTATCAGGCCCGCGATACTGGCCAGCAACAGCTAAACAGCCAACAGGAACATTGAGCATGGTTTAGGTCTGCAGATGATTGTGCTGCACTTACAGATAGGCCACTCAGATACGGATTGATCAGAATGGAAGCGTTCGGCGCCAGCAACAGTATCCAGATGGCCAGTCCCACGATCAGTAGTCCCACAGCCAATTGCATTATCAGTAGCTGCCGGGAAATGTTCAGATTGCGGATATGCTTGGAATATGCCGCTTGGAGACCTGCAAATGGAAGAGACAACACCCACACACGTATTTAATGCCAGAGATGGAGATGGAGATCAAAATGAAGAACGTACTGTCATGGTTCTTGTGATTCACAACTATCATGCGACTGTGTCTCAGACTATTGCGGGTCGGCGTATGTCGTCCAGCGATCTTCATGCCTTTCATATTCTGCGGCACCGTAGTACTCATGTAGACAGCCTGTACAGGGACAGAGAAAGAGAGCGACAGATTAGCGGGAGAGATCTATCAATTGGATGCGGCTTGGGGGATTCGGATACTGACACTCACCTGCGACGGCTGCGGTGCATCCAAGTCACTCAGGGGTATCTGTTCATAGGTGGTTGCATACCGCAGGGATCTGTCCGGACTGCTGGCCGCCAGTGGCACCACCACTGGCATTGGCATTGGCATTGGCACTGGCTCGATGGTCTGAGTCGGAGCCGGAGCTGGAGCCGGAAGCTCGTCTGCGGCATGTGGCTTGTGGCGCTGTGGGACGTTCTGGTACTTTGGTTCCGGCTTAATGGTCGGCTGTTGTGAATGGGCTTTGACAGACGGCATTGGCATCTGCGTTGGCTGGACGGCTGACTCATACTCGTCGTAGTTGTTGATGCCAAAGAATTTCGACTTGGCATCGTTGAGAGCCGCCTTAACGGCGGCTATACTGTGGCTGGTACCGCTGCCATTCATCAGCTCCTCCTCGGACTCAAGCTCGGGCTGCGGCTGCGGCGGCATGCCGTTCGACAGAAGCTGGTCGCTCACACCTCTGGCGGTGGCTGCTCTCTCCGGCTGCCTGGGACTTTCTCCAGCTCTTTGGAGATGTTTCTGTAGCTGTAGCTGTTGCTGCTTGGTTGGTGGAGCCACATGGGTGGTGGCACTGGCACCCAGATTGTCATAGGTGCTTATTGGACGGACTTGTTGCGATTGCATTGCTCTAGAATTAAGCCTAGGCTTCCTCTTCGGATGGATGGACAGATGGATGGACGGGGACTATACCCTCTTCTAGACGTTCATATTCGCTGGCTTATCTGCAGCGCGAGTGCTTCAAGCGATTTGGAACGATTCGACAGCCAGTGGCAGTGCAAGGTGTACTATGTACTGGGGCCATTTCTTGGCTGCATTCCCTGCAACGATCCAACGAAAGCCCATGGTTAATTGTTATTCCAAGACCTATCCCCATGAAATCGCCTCAACTGTGAACTTTTTGTGCCCCCCTTCACAAACACAGAGTGGGCCTCGAGTGTCCAAAGCCCGTTTCTAAACTTGTTGATGCCTCACACACACACACACACACACACATGCACCTATCCGTGTTAGCCACAACACGTTCATGCATCTAAACCAAGAGACAGAGAGAGAGAGAGAGAGAGAGAGATAGCAAGAGCGAGAGCGAGCGGGAGAGAAGAAAATTGCTATTCACAAATTCCAGAGCACGGGCCTACTGGCGGCGAACTGTGGTGAGGGGGGGGGACTGGGGGACTGTGGGACTGTTCGACTGGGATGTTTGTCAAGCTGAAAGAATTTCAAAATTATAGAGTCGGTTCTGGGCCGCTGAACATGCTTCCGTTCCTCGAACAGAGACTACCCCCACCATTACACCAGCACCAACCCCAACTCCTGTCACATTTTATTTGTACAATCCAAAAAGTCTGTGATTGCCAAACTTTGCGTTTTGATCTATTTAAAGGTCGTCTTTTGATTTTCAGAGCAGTTTCTCTGGTACAGTGGAAACATTTATGGGTTTCTAAATAGTCATTCCACTGTACAGAGATTGCTCAGGAAATTTTTTGTAATTATAACTATTATTTATTATTGTTATTTGGTGACTTAATTACATCATGAAAGTATTGTATTCGGTTAAAAGATCTAAAAAAAGGAGAAGTAAACACTTCTTTTAATAAATAAATTTGTATATATTTTTAATCACAAACAAAAAAAGTATACACAGAAGTAGAAATAGAATATCTCTGGTGGAACGGAACCCTATAAACGTAAGAGTTCGACTCCCAGGGCACCCCATACAAACACATAAATACCACATCTCTCCATTTCTTGCACATAGATAAATGTAAAAAAAAAACAAACTTTAAAAGAGCAATTCCGTACCCGATTCACAACAAGCGTAAGCCGAAAAATCTCAGTGCGCGTTTCTTTTAGGCCAAAAAAGCATAAGCAGAGGCAGAGGCAGAGGCAGAGGCAGCAGCAGAAAGAGAACGAACACAAACAAAACAAAACAACGTATCGACTGAGCGATCGGCCACAACTGTACGCACCAAAAGTCGAAAATAGACTAAAAATAATTCTCACTAGCACACGGCGTCGTCTTGATCCGATCGAGCGCTTAAACAAAAAAGAGCGAGACGAAACCGCTTGTCCATTCAAAATCGTTTATTCAAGGTGTATTTTCTTAGAGGTGAGGGCACCTCCCTCTCTCTGTCTCTAATGGATCCAGTTTTTTTTTCTATCTGGAGATTGCAGTAGCAAAATTGGAGTAGCAAAATTAATTTCGAAAAACTTATTTATATAATATCTCCGCACTTTTGTCTTGTCTGCCTCTGCAGACTCGTAAGAGGCCATGCCTCACCTGACTCACCTTTTCTACACACACCTTGGGCTCGCTTACCTGTAAACACACACACACACACGCACGAGCAAGCCAGCTCAGACTCCGCTCACAGACGCAGCTGTCTCTCTCTCTCTTTATCTCTCTCGCTGTCGCAGTAGCAAAGAAGCTGAGAGAGTAGGTGCTGAGCATAGTTTACATTGTGTTTTTGTTGCTGCATTCGTGGACGTGGCCAAAACCAACCCATAGAATAGAGAGAGTGTGTGGGCAGGGAAGAGAGTGACAGCTTCAGAATGAAACACTTTTCCCTGTTCGAAATTCCTGTTAATCTCCCACACTGTAAACGAGACTTAATGCTTACGATAACACTCTCCTGGCCCGGGATCCCAGCCTCCCAAAGATACGGGGGAGCGTGAGAGTGAGAGCCCCGATTAAACAAGAATGATCTTGCGCATGATCTACCGTTCGTAGTGCAGTGATGCAGTTATTCGATATCGGGGAATTTCGGGTTAAATTATACATAAATGTGACGAGATTTTTTTAGTAATATTTTGATAGAAAAAAAAACAAGTTCTTTCATAAAAATTTCTGTTATCTTCCATGAATAGTTCCCTATAGCAAATGAATGGTTATACATACATATGTATGCTGGAAAGAAATATTCATATTTATATCTTATTTTCAGTCTTAGAAATTAATTCATTTTGAATATAATATTACTCTATTTAGTTTATATACAAGACACATGGACACTTATTGTGGATTTATTCTTGTTGGAAAATTTCTTTACTCTTTACTCTTATTTCTTAAAGGAAAATAGCATGTACTTTGGTGTTCGATCCGATTGTAGTTTTTGTCTTTGAAATGCGTGCAAATTCACTGACGAAAGCATCTGACCGAATTCAATGACATTTAAGCCAAAAAAAAAAGAAGAAAACAAAACACGTTGCGTGTGTTGTGTTGCAATTGTGAAAGACAAAGCAAACAAACTGATACGAGTACTAATAGGTACATACTCGAGCGAAAACCCCCCGAAATAGGGCCAGATGGCAGGAAGATAATGTACTACTTGACATATGGAGCTTTGCACGTACTCTGCTGGTGGGGTCTTTCCTGACTTCAAGATATACCCATGATGTTTATGGTTTTATGGTAGTTTGGAATAGTTTATTGTAATTGTTGTAATTGTAATTATGTAATAATATTGGTTCGAGCTGTTTATCCTTGTCGATTAGTTTCCAACTCTGTTCGATTTGTATCTTCTGTTTCTGAAATTTCAAAATGTTGAATAAATGTATTATAGATACCATATATTTCTTACCATTCATTTGAAACTGCCCTCCTTCGCGTTGTATCGATTTTTGACCCTTGTGTATTCAGACTTGTTGTCTTCTTGGTACATGTTTTCATGTATGTATGTATGTATGTCCACTTTTGTATTTGTCCTGAAATTTACAAATATTTTACAACTGCCAGTCTGTGCGGAAGAGCAGGTATTACCTTTAATGCATCGGTTTCTTTTTGTCGACCCCTTGCATGATGTATTCATCCTGCAGACAACGGATGTAATGCAATGCGTCATCAATGTACTCGATTACATCCAGAATGATTTGGCTTTCTCCATCGCGCTTAATCAAGTCCACGCAGCGCTCTTTTTGCTTTTCAAATTCATCTCGGATTCGCTTCAATCGGACCATGGTTTTGTAAAGTTCCTCCGCCTTGTGTTTGTTCATGTAATACGCAATGCTGAAACTTTCAAAATATCCGTGAATTTTCTCAAGTTCTTCTATGATCTCGAGAACTGCTGGCTGTGATGGCTTATCCTCTGGCTCGGCACACTTCTGCAAGTCTGCACTTGCGGTTATTTCCGTCATTTTTTAAATAAAACAAATAGTTCCGAATACAAGTTTAGCTCTAGTTTTACTTTTACGACTCAATGAATAAGGAACATTAATTTTTTGGGTTGCTTTGATCTTTTTTTTCTTATATTTTACTAGATTCCTACTAGATTTCATTTGGCTTGTCCTATGACTATAGGACAGGGATAAATCGTTTTCATGGGTGTTTTTTGGGGTGTTCGATATTGTTATATGAGAGTTGTTGAACCATGAGGCCACTTCCTCGTACTGGCATTTACATACATCTGTGTGTATGTTTAGTGATGTCGTTAACCGATCTCACTAAGAAAATAACTTGATTGAGGAAAAGTGAAAGATTAGTTGACGCCACAACAGACGGAAGTTGGCCGGCCACTCGCCAAATGATCGATCTCCCGGTTGTGTGTGTGTGTGTGTCTCATAGCATCGAAAAATATAATCGCTTTAAATAATAGCTGTTTCATCAAAATTACATTAAGCAAGAGCGTTCCAATAGCCTAATAAAATTCTTTTCTTTTGCTAGTGTTCCGCCGCGTTTCTACACTCTACACTACATGTAGAACATGTAGAGACGGCACATCTACATACTACATAGAACATGTAAGTGTACCTGTAAAATACACATTTCTACGTAGAACTTTATTTATTTACCATAAATATAAGCACCAGCACACACACTCCTTATTGGCCGATGATATCTGTATAAGACACTGAAAAAATCACGATACAAATACATATTAAAGTTGTATTCTTTTAAACCCCATTTGTGTTGATATGATCTTTGGGTTATCTAAGCCGAAAAAACCTGCAGCAAAAAAAAAGTAGCTCAAACCAAAAATAAGTTTGAAGCGGGCTCTTGCCCAAGTGGCGAAGACAACTTAACTAAAATGTTGTTTTATATATAAATGTATGTACATATATATTTTTTAGTAGCTCTTTTTATTTTATTTTTCTTTTGTTTTTTTTCTTTTTATTTTTTTTGTATTTCTGCTTCTGTGCGCTTCTCTTCTGTTAGCCCTCGGGTTGCAAGACCATTGGATTGCTTTTTGTTCAGCAGTTAATTCAGTTATTTCATTAGTAAAAATGTTAAATAATATTTGCCAACTGAAGCATTACAAACGTTAGTTCAAATACCCATAACCTGACACACAGTTTCATGGGAAGAAAACGACAAAACTGGGCAACGGACGAATGCATTTTTTTAGTTTTTTTTTTTTTTGCGAAATGGCAAATCGACTTCAGATTACCCGCATATACACATGTGTACTTACATATGTATTTATTGCAAAATTATAATGAATGGCCTGGCTTGAGTAGTTATTCAGAAAGACAGAAAGAACCAACGAGCGAGACGCCTAGCGATACGATACCATTCCATTACCATCTTGGAAAAACCACCCACGGTTCTCATGGGGTCGCTGATCTGATCGGATACGATCCGATCCGATCCAATCCAATCCGACTGCTTCTGCTTCCCACATCACATGGCGAAAAACTTTCATTTGAGTCGCATAATCAAACGCTCATCTGGCTTCCCTCTTCCGGTCGGTCGGTCGGTCGGTCGGTGACAGAGCCACCTGAGCCCTCCACAGCCATCGCTGCCATCTCTGGCATCTTTGCCATCTCTGCCACCGGGGATGTGGCTGATCTTCATGTTGGTTTGGTTTTCGTAATGCAGCAGACGACCCCGACCATTGCCGAAATCTCTGGCGTTGCGAATGGCTCTCCGACCATTACGGTATCTCTTGCCTCTTACAGTCCACTCCAATCGTTCGGTGGTCAGTGATCCGCTGGACCGCTGGTCAGTGGAATTAGGACAAGTATGGGAATATAATCAGAAAGTCTCGAGTTTCGAGTCTCAGGCCATCAGTGCTAGTACTTGTACTGCCACTATTTGCCACAGTTGGCGGCTTAGGCCAGCCATGCTGCCTGCCAATTAATAGAATTAAACAGAACACGGAGCACAGCTCAGAGCTCAGAGCTCTTACTGTACTCCAGTTTTAGTACGGGTTTTTGTCGTCTTATTTTTCATCGTGGAATTGTGTAGTACTCAGGTTCGGGTCGGCTACTCTGTTGTCTCTGTTGTGACCGAACTAGCCAGCAAAATTACAACCAAACCAACAACACAAAACGAAAGAAACAAACAACAACAAAGCCAGGCCATTTTACGTCAACAGTGTGCACTGCGAGGTTTCACCAAAAAGTTATACCACATCAAAAAAAAAAAAGGAAAAAAAAAGCCGCCCAACCTCTTCTGTTATTCTATTGTAGCACAGATTGATTAAACGCTATACCTTGTATTTATGGATGCGCTAAAAAAATTGGATTCAATAATCCAATTAAGATGGCCATAAAAACAAAGACAACAATAAATAATGCTATGCTCAAAACACGCTCAAATTTAAGCCATGCAAAGTGAATGATGTAAAAACAGAAACGCCAAATGCGAGCATGTTGGTTTTTTGTTAAAAATTAAATGCAAATTAGTCGTAAGAAAAAACACATACCTACTCACAAATCTTTAAGGAAATAACATATATGAAAGTTGAAATATATTTCTGATAGTAAAATTCACAGACAAAAAAGGTTAATTTAAAAGAAATGTTTAAAAAATGTAAAAAATCTTTTTAAAACTAAATTACAAAAATTCGACTTTTTACAAAAAAAGTAATTTAGTCCTGGCCAAAAAAAAAATTAAGGTCTGTCTGTCTGCGATGTTGTTAAAAAAATCTGGTTTTTTAAGAAAATCTTATTTAAAACTGTAAACTATTTATCGTTTCGTTGTAAGATAATGTGTCTTGTAATTGCCTAAATGAAAAATAAATAAAACCTTGTTATAAATGCACACATTCGTTGCGTTCATTAACCAAATAAATGTAAAATAAAAAATGCATTCTTATTTAAACGCAGTGGCTAACCAAAGGCGTAACCTTGTGGGGCTCGGGGGAGCTTGGGGAACCCATGGAACCAACCTCGCGGCCATTGTGTAAAGCAGTGCTGCGATTGCGCAGTTTGTATTTCGCGTCGGCAACAATTCCACACAATGACAAACACAGGCCCAGCAGCGACCAGCGTGCTGCTGCAAACCGAGCGAGCGAGCGAGCGGCTGAAAACCGACCACCGAAGCGATCAACCAAGCAACCGACCGACCGACCGAACGACCGACCGACCAATCAACCTTATGGTGACGGTGCCGACTAGGTTCGGACTCGGACTCGGACTCGTCGTCGGCACCGGGATCGGGATCGGATCGGCGTTGCACACGCGCAGTACTCGCACTCGCATTCGCAGTCCGCGGGCCAAGCGCCAGATGGAAACCAGTTAGAAGACAACTTTCAAAGCAGACGTGTCAGGCGTACGGTTCGCGTTCGCGTCGGTTTTATTTCGCTTTTCAGCGTACTCTTGGCAGGCAGCAGGCAGTAGTGTTAACTCCGTTAATAATAACCAATATCTATGTGGACACACATGCACATGCAGCAGGCGAGCCACATAAAAGAGTAATAAGTTCACGTTCATAGGTAGCCAGCCATTCATTTTTCTATCTCTATTTTTTCTATGTGCTCTTTTTTGTTTTTGTGTGGAGTTAAGGTGCACTCCGCGAGTGGGGTTTCTGTTTTTGTTTGCTTTGTTTTTCTGTGAATAGTGAAGTGATTATGGGCCTGGAAACAGAGACTCCTCCCAACCGAAATATGAAAAAAATCTGGCCATAAATCGGGAACAATTCGGAATAAACAAGTCTTTCGTATCTGTGCGATTGTGCGTGCTGAGTCTGTGTGCGTACTTTCTCATATGGTTCCAATTAGCACCTCCGGATATATCTGGCAAATTAGAGCTCAAATCTAAAGCTGAAACTGAAGCTGAAACTTTCCTAACTCTTCCATCAGGCAGCCAGGCACCCAGGCAGCCAATTTTGATAATTAGTGAGAGACACACACTCTAATGAAAGTTGTTTATGATGGCCAATGGATCCTCCGGGCGTAATGAAAATCCCCCACCAAATCCCAAACACGTAGCCTCTGCTGGCCAGTGATCCGTATTGGCCGTAACAACCTTGAAAGCAGTCAACCCTCAGGGCACAGTCGGCTCTATTGGCTGTCTTTTTGCTGGCTTATTCTTTTGAATATTCCAACCCGTAAAAGGGAAGCCATTTAAAGTTTACTTTTACTTTTCCAATCGATTCGAAGCGAGGGCAATCAAAAAGAGCTGCCTGCGACTGTGTGTGTGTGTGTGTGTGGCACTGAAGGAAAGCTTGTGATTCGGTTTCGGTGCAAAGACATAGACATAGACAGAGGCGGTGGGGAGGGGCATGGGAGGTGGAGTCAATGACCCACACCTATGATTTTGTGATTTTGTGATTTTCATGATTATCACAATGTAAATTATTATTTGTGCAGTAATATACATTATCATCATCATCATCTTCACCGCCGTACCGAGTACCTACCATAATAATTATGCGGTGGAAAATCCAATGTGAATGCAAAGTGAAAATCTAATGAACGCTGAAGTCGCTGCCCCTCGGGCCTCACGCTATATGTTCACATGGTATGGTGTTGTTCATGCATACACCTAATCTCATATATATGCATAGAGGAGAGAGAGACAGAGAGAGAGATACAGATACGTATCTGTATAAATATATAAATAATCGTCGAGTGTATGCATAAATTAATCGATGCTGACGATGCTACAGCAGCCTCCAAGCTAATCAACGACCAACGGCATCCAACAGCATCAACCCCAAACACACTACCCGTACTACCCGTAACTCCGGCCAAAAAACGCCAGTAAAAACCGCATCGGCCGCAGTAACATTTAAAAACCGCCAACAGCAGTCAATGTTTTGCTGCAACACAGTACCACCACCACCACAGCTGTTCAGATCTTCATCGTCGCCTTCGCCGTCGCCGTCGCCGTCGTCGTTGGGTAGCCGCCGCGAGGTGGACGCTTTCAAAAGAGCCATGACTTTTTCGTATCCAATGTCCCCCATTATGCTGCTGCTGCTTCTGCTGATGATGCTATGCACAGCCGGAAATTGCCAAAGTAAGTTCCACTCCACACTCAGAAATACACAGAAAATATCTACAAAAGTATTCACTAAGTTATTCACAGTTGTATTGACCTTAATCCATCACCACACGATCCGATTCGATCCTCCATACTCCCCCCCCCCCCCCCCCCCCCCCCCCCTCCATCATTCTCCTCATTCTTGCACTCGATTTACCAATTAGCAAGTGTTGAAAGAAATGGGGTCAATCCCCACCTCGAAGAACGATCAGATAAGAGCAGAGAATCAGAGTTTGTTTTTTCTTTCTTTTTTTTTTTGAGGGTAAATGCATAATGCTTCCGTTTAGGTACTTTACGGCTCTGTATTATTCTATATTTTAAGTGGCGTTTGTTTTTTCCATTGAAAAGTTTTGGGTGTTTTGAAGGTGTGCTTACTGAAAAATAATTATTAAATTAAAATCAATAATTTTGTTGATCAATTTAAAAGTAAAATAAATCCGAAATCCGTCGATGCCAGGCAAAAAATAAATGAAATACAAAAAGAAATTATGTTTGAGTATTTGATTTATTTTATTTATTTTGTTTTTGCACTCCCGGTGCCACATGCATGTACATATTTTGTTTTTGCATTCTCGGGAATAATTGTCGGAGAAGTGGGAGAAATGCGTAGAATGGGAGTAGTAGGAGAAATGGGAATAACCTTCATTGGTAACCGAAAAATTCCAAACCCGTTGTATTACAACATTTTATTTACATTCTTTTCAAATACATTTTTAATAAAATATTTCACTAGTTTATTTCGAATTCATTTGGAGCCTTTGAAGAGCATTAAAGACCAAGTTTTTTTTTTTAATGTTAAATGTGC